GACCTGGACAGCTGTATGTTTCCGTGGTGATAATACATAAGCGACTGTTGGAATCACTGTGACATAGCTGCAGCCCCAAGGCAAAACTGTAACATACCCATTACGTTTGTTCATCCAAAACACTTTCTTGGGCCAAGAGGGAATATAGCCTTCTGGAATTATATTTTTTTCTTTGAGTGAAGAATATAGGCATAAAAGAATTAGGTAGGAAACCACCAGAAAGATCAATTTTAAAAAGCATTTCTATTTCTCCTTCCTAACCCCCCCAAAAATAGAGACACAAGTAAATAAAACCTCCAAGGCTGTACTCAACATGTTAGAAAAGTTTGGTGGAGGAAAAGAGTATGCTAGTGAGCATAAACTATTTGCTCGTCATCATGTTTCTGTCATGTAACAGGTATATACTATATACAGTGCATACAGAGACAGAATTGCTACCTGAGATTAAATAGATTATTTACACAGCTCATTTGGGAGAGGAGAGGATGAGCTAGCTCCCTCTTCTGTCTGCCATCTTCATGAAAAGGAAAGTCAGGCTGTCCTCAGCCAAGCAAATTACCTCTTATTGTCAAGGAAAAACAATAAGGTTTGCCAATTTTTAGCAAAAATTATTGGAAAAAAGAAGTTAAGATGGAAACTGTGGACCGCGATGGAAATGTGTAGTGTAAGGAAGAAGAAAATGCAAGAAGGAGCCAAAAAAAGAGGTAAAGAAAGGCATGATGAAGTCAGACTACAGAAAATCAGTAGTATTTCAAGCTCTGCATATTCCAAAGAGTGGAAACAGAGAGAATCCTCTGGCAGTAACAGCAATGGGAAAAAAGAACACAGAATACCAGCCATCTCATCTTAATCAGAAGAAATACAGAGCGCCTAAATCTGCACACCACAAGGCAGTCCCACACCATCACACCTAAGTCAACCCTGAAGAAGTCTTGCAGCACCAGGACTTGCATAGTTGTCATTTTAGCAGTGTTTCACCAGAACTGACACATCTTGTTTCTCTGGTACTCTGTGTATGCATACCAGAGTGCCTTTGGAGAAAGTCATACGCTTTTTTCACATTTAAAACCTAAATAAGTGTGTGTGTATGTGTATGTGTATACACACATGCCTGTGTGTGTATGGGGCAGAGGGTTGGACGGTGATGAAGGAGTGTGCGTTTGATGGAATTCAGTGCATAAGCAACATTAAAAGTCAATTGAATCCCGGCTTTCAATCACTGATCAATCTTCCTGTGTTTTCAGACCTTTCTTTCTGACCTAAACGACCACAAAGACAGTAAACAACATATTCGTAAGTTAGATAAAATGTGCTTATTATACTAGGACAAATGCCTTTCAAATTATAGTATATTCCAGAAAACAATCCCCAAAAAGAGCATATGAAGACAACATAAGCAATATTTTCCCTGCAACTTGCTATTTCTCCCAACATTAGTTCTCACCTTAAGGCAGAGATGTGATAACCTTTAACCCTGGGAGCCATTTCTAATTCATTCATTCAGATTTCAAAGACACAACATTGACAGCCACTTTCCTCATGTGCTACACAGACCAACTTCCACATTTAAAATACTCACAAGTATTTTTAGGTGGTCTGCTTCTGTTTAGCTGAACTTGCCAAACTGATACAGTAAGGTGTACCTGCACCTTTCTGTTAAGCTAGTATAAAGTTTCCAATCCCCTTGCCAAAAAACTATAAGAAAGAAAGGAAGGAGGGTAAAAACATGGAATGTGAGGAAACTGTTGAAAATAAGCTCCTTAGTTCTTTTAAATGTAAGTTGGCCCTACTGGATCTGTCTTGGGCAATCATGGAAAAGGCACTTTCAAACTCACACTCCCTAATGAATGAAGCAACTTTGTGAACCTTACATTATTCACACCAAAAAATTACAGATTTCAACACACAGGTATCACTCAAACTTCAACCTTCCTAATGAGTACATCAGCATGTGCAAAGACTCCAGAGCCAGAATGAGATTAATGGAATAAATTTAGGGATATATTAAACAGGAGGGAAGGGGAATAACTAAGCATTAACACAGTCTTTCATTCAATAATTGTCTGAATCAGGGGCATTGATTAAAGAAGCACACGTTAATGTACAATACTGAAGCATATGAAAAAGAACTTTATCCCATGATGGCCTGAAAGTACAGTAGTTTGCTGTATTATAGTAGCACCAATTTCAAAAGAGTTCATAACCATAATTAACTACCTGATTGTGCCTCAAAAACCTAGCAACCAGCTATACCAGACTTCCTTAATCTGCAGAAAATTCATTGGAAATACTTTCTGACTACTGACCAAGTTTCATACAACATAGATATTTAATTTTAAAAGTCCCCAGATGATGAAACATTCAATTTTTTCTTGACAATTCAATAGCTAAAAGACTACAGACTGGTCTCCACAGCACAGGGAGCCTGCTGGTAAGAACACAGGGTAAATGCATACTCCATTGCCTTACCTCAGCTATGTGCGGCATTGGGTTAAATCCACAGAGATTGCACACAACTTTCTTGCACTCTGTACACGTATTGAAGTTGGGGGGATCCTTAGAACCAATATTTAGTCCAGTTTTACAAAGGGGACAAGACACTTTAGGCTGGCTGGCTTTCTCCGGTTCCGACAACCCAGCAGGTTTCTTAGTTTCAGCAGCCTGAGGCTTGCTATCTTTAGCCAAACCAGGTTTCTTTTCTAAATCAGACCCTTTAGTCGTTAAAATACTATCCGCTTTTGATGGCTCTGATTTTTCAGTCATAAGAGGCTTGGCTTCTTTCTTTACAGGAACAGCTTTTGGAAGAGGCTGAGCATGCCCAGCCTCTTTGGGGGCTGCCTGAGAGGCCGGAGGCTGTGATGGAGGCTGGGGCTGCTTCGCTGCAGGACCAGGCGGAGGTGGGGCTGATGTCTGAGACCCCGGCTGACCCGCTGTGGAAATTAAATTCGAGGCCTGGCTGAAGATTGAAGCTCCAAATCCAAAGAGTTTCCCAGTAACTGTTTCTTGTGGTGTTGTAGGCTGAGGCTTAGGGGCATCAGTGATGCCTCCCAGATTAAGGCTGAAACGCCTTGGTTGCTCAGGAGTTTTCTGAGGTGGCTGGGGTTGAGGCACCAGCTGTGCTGGTGCTGGCTTGGGACCTGCCCCTGCCTGTGGGCCCTTGGGAGCTGGTTTGGTATCAGGCTTCGGGGCCGGTTTTGTTTGTAACTTCTTAGGATCATCTTTTGTTTGTGTTGGCTCAACAGGCTTCTGAGTTTTAGCATCTCTAGCCCCAGGCTGAGATGAAAGCTTGGGATCTGACTTCCGCCGAGACACTTGTGGAAGGGGTTTGGAATCTGGTTTATCCCCAGCTGGATGGGTGTCCTGTGACAGCTTGGCAAGCTCTGGTTTTGGGGAATCTGTCACTTTCTGTTGAGTTGGTGGAGGTCTGGGACCTGCCAAATCCTGTTTCGGCCCTGGTGCTGCAGAGGTAGGCACAGTGTCCGTTGTAGGCTTCTGTATACTGGGTTGTTTTTGCTTATCTTCAGCCTGTGTTGGCTTGGCCTGATCAGACTTTGGTGTAGGATCTGTTTCCTGGGAGATCTCCGTAGGCTCAACACGGGTTTGTTTCGATTTTACAGGAGGAGACCCAGGCAAGGACGATTGCTTTTTCAGTGGCAGCGGTTTTTTCGATTCTGCTAGCTGCGAAAGATCAGGTTTTGGAGAAGCATCTTTCTTTTGAACTGGCTGTGGCTGGGGAAATGGTTTAGCTGTTGAAGGTGGAATGGGTGTCTTCTGTTTGGGTGGAGGTGGCTGTGGCCCAGGACCATGACCTGCTGCTAGGTCACCACCTAAAGCTCTTTGCATCTGGCAGTTTAAACAGAGCCATTCCTTAATCTGCAGGAAAAAAAAAAGAATAAAGGTATTATAATTCAGATAAAACAAGTTAACAAAATCAACATAATAGGCTATTCTAGTGTATGGCTTGTTGCAATATTTCAGACTTCTGTGTAAAAAGGGAGAAATATTACCACTAATATTGTTTTGCAGTTAACATGCCCAACGGATTTTTTCATTCTTCTCCACATTCCTGTGACTTAGCTATCACTGAGCCCTTGCTTCTAATGACTTCACATTCAGTTTACACACAGCTGAATATTGGAGGATAAAACCCCAGCAGAATGAAAAAATGCATTGGAATTTCATGGGACCCAGCAGTGATTCATTTATAGTGATGATTTGTCAGAATAGAGGAAAAAAAGACAAATACTGCTAAAATAGTTTGACACATCAAGTCTGCTGACAGAAAACAATAATCAGAATTAAAATACAGTAAATGCATAATTACTTTTAAGCATATATCTATCAAGCTCTTCATACAGCTTATGGTTTTGGTAATGGTTTAAATTACAGGCACAAGTGTTGGCAGTATACATGTATCCAATGAATTAGGCACAGAGATGTGTTAATGGACACCATATATTACAGACTCACACTTTACCACCAATTTGAGGGCAAGTCTTCATTTGGAATCAGTGAAGAGCTTTGCCTAAGCCCTGATAGTATTTTAAGAGCCATAATTAGGTTTCCAAAAATTCCTTTGTTATTAAGAGAAGCTCCCAGGGTAATTACTGTGCGCCTGTATACAATGGGCCCCTCTTTTCATCACAGAGGAGAAGGAATAAGGCAAATAATGTATTTACCCATGTTTCTCATCCATTTTAGTACCTCACAACTTTAAAACATTCTTTCTTCTTCCCAAGAAGTATAACATGAGAGGGAAACTGCATTTTCCAATAAGACAGAAAACCCAATAATCCTAAGCGGTCATCCCTGCCTTTGCTTTTGTAATGCCTCACAATCTGAGGAAGGACCAAACAGGCTAAAGCAACATGTGGTCAGGAAGCATCACGTGCTATTTTCCACATTTTACACCGCTAGCAGAAACATTATAGGCAGCAAAAATGCCATTCAGTGTGGCACAGAGTCCCATGGGCCTACATCTGCAGGTCATCTGTAGCTCTACTCCTATCCTTTAGTCCGCATGTGAAACACAGGGTGCCAGCTATGGCATTTGCACGCATCACTGCAACAGAGGGAAACTGCAATTAGGAGGACGCGGAATATAAGACTCAGATCTTTTTCCCTAAGGGTGAAGATTTCTGGATCCTGTTTCTCACTCGGGTCTGAAATCTCTACCATACACCATGGAATGAATCTGGAGGTACTACATGCAAAGAAACACTTTGTCTGCGTAATACCAGAGCTCACTGGAAGGAAAGATCTCTGATGTCATGGACTGAGGCAATGAATTCATTGTTTTGGTGCTTTGCCAGCCTTATATTTTCCCAGCAGCAAAAATTAAAAGAACAGTTGGACACAGTTCCCTAAAACACAGTTATTCCAATTATTCTGATAAACATGGTGTATACACACTCTGGAATATGAGCTCACTATTACTAACAGCTTCACAAATAGATGTCTAATTTTGGCCCCATCTGTAAGTTCACAGTATTCAAGTTACCATTCATAATAATGCTGCTTTTATCTTCCATTTTCAACTCTCCGATCTACTTGCAACCCATATAACAAATGAAACCAACTGAAACAAAACTGGAACACATGTTTAAGCTCTGCTTTGAATTATTAAAGGAATTAAGTTCACAACTGCACAGAGGACCTGAGCAAAGATTACATTTAGCTTAACTCCCATATTGTTTGATTGGTGATCAGTTCCCTACAAGTCCCCTGTCCAAGGGACAATTACTTGCAATAAGTAAATCTTAGATTTTAGATATTAGTAATCTAATTTAATTAGATACATATTAATACAATTTCTGGATGAATTATTAAGGGTTTTCTAGAAGATTTAAGTCTAATCAAAGACCACACTTAAGCCACATACTCTGAACATCCACCTCAGCTGTCACAGCAGTCTGGCTTTGGCAAAGCGATTAAGATTTCTTGTATTAGGGAGGTGGGCTTTCCTCTGTGGTGGAGAAAGATAGGATCCTGTGAGGAGCTTTTTAATGGGCCTAAGCGAGGAATGTCTTTTCCCACTAACCACAGAACTTTTACAGAGATTTGGACAATGCACTTTTCATGGTGATTCACTGCTCCTGCTTCTTTTTGACACCTCCACTTGATCTGTTTTTTTTTTTTTTTTTTAAATTAAAGTTCTGTACTCTAAAGTAAGATAACCAGGTGAAACCATGGCAGTAACAGGTGCCTACCTGCTCTCACTCAGCTTCCAGGAAATGTAATTTTAAGTCACTGTGACACCTTGAAGGCCCCAAACGAAGTAGCTGTAGGGTTGGGTGGGGCTATAAAATAAGTAGTCTGAATAATTCTTATGTTTAAGGTGTCCAGATTCCAACTGCATTTATAAGCATTTAGGCTTGTCTTCAACATGCAGCTGGTCCAATCTGACTCTACTACCTAACTGGAGTCCAAACAAAAGTTAATTCTATACTAGTTTTCAACACAATCTTGTGCAGAAGACAAAACCTTAACTCTCAACGGTTATTTTTTTCCTTACCTTAAAAAAAAAAACAACATATATATTCACACGCGCACTCTTAGTATTAAACTGAAGCCTGTAAAACTAAAAATTAATTTGCTACTCCTACAGCTGAACTTCAAAATGGAAAATGTAGGAAGTTTTACTTCACTGCATTATTTTTTAAATCTTTCTGGTTTAGACATAAAATTCCTCCCATGCATTTTAGTGGGAGGAACTAAGTGCCAAAACCCTCAAGTCATTATAACTTACACACATCATCTTCAAACAAATACAAAACCGCACAAATTGTAGTTCTGTGATTGGAACTGCAGGAACGTGCTACATGATACAGTTTTGTACCAAACATGGGCCTGTTTGTTCTACTGCAATTACAGAGATTTTCCATAAACTTTAATGGAAGCAGGCTTCTGCTAAGAGTTACAAGCTCTTACAAGTTATTACAGATGAAGTAAAACTTACTGCTGCTGTAGATACCTAAAATGCTAATGTTTGTCTATCCTTACAGGTCTTCCTGGACAGCAGTTCTGCGACTTTCTAGTTTCTTTCTCCATATTTCTCCTATCTCTACCTAGAATTAAAAGGCAAAAGTTTCCAGGCAACACCTGAGCTTTTGCAGTTCCTGTCTACTTGTAAAGGAGATTCTTCTTTGGTGCTGAGGATCCCAGGCTGCCTATTTTTACACTGATACAGAGGAGTGAGGGCTGGGTCTTATTTCTAGAAGTAATCCATGTGATTTTCTTCATCCTGAGACCCATAACATTAAATGTCATGACAAGGACTGTAAGTTTGACAGATTTCATGCAGCATTTTTGTTTAGATTTCAACTACTGAACACAGAAAGTGCTACCTTGCTTTCTAACTCACTGATGTAGAAACTATATGCCCTCATAACAACAAACAAATAATTAAAATATATTTTATGTATTCATCAGCCATAACATCTTAAAAAAGCTTCATAAAGATTCTACTAGTTGGGAGCACCAAATGGATTTATTCAGTGTTTTAGTAACAACATCCATGGAGAATTACATTGAAGATAGCACCACGTTCCATAGCTCACCTTGCTTTATTCATTCATAATCTAACAGCTGACTCCAATAACAAATAGGAGCTACACTTCAGTTCTCCTTATCCCAAACAAAGCCAACACAATTGAAGGCAATCTGGAGCCTATTCCTTTCTGCAAAAGTGTTCAGATTTGTTCTAACTACGCAAACCCATCAAAAGCAATAGGAAAACTGTCAGAGAGTGAGTGCATCAACTGGCGCGCTCAATTTCTATTCCTGCAGATGATGTAGGGAAGGAAGAGAATCCAGCTTGATTCTAAGATTCCAGATATACTGTGAGAAAGAAATTTTGACTTGCAGATTGAACATATTTCATATAAAAATTACTGGCACACAATATGGATGTAGCTCTCAGAAGCCATTTTAACATCCCTTTTGCAGAACAGAGCCACATTCTAGGGCAATGGTCTCATTCTCATTTAGACCAGTCATTTGGTACTATAAAAAGGAACTTTAAGATATGCATAAAATATTAACATCCCTTTACATCGCCACAGAAATGTAAAGATTTATAGAGCCTTTACATTGCCACAGTTATGTAAATGGATTTGCTGACATTGCTCAGCGCTGCCCCAAAGTTTTATTGACAAAATCAGTTTTTTGTCTGAAAACGCACCAGCTTATTTGGTTCCTGACAATTTTAGGGAACAAGCCTGGGCAATACTAGAGACAGAGTTTCCCTTCTACACCATCCTTCCATGAATAAGATCTCAGCTATTCAAAGTAATTACACTGAAACAAACATACAAACTATTGTACACAGTACGCAACTGATCCTCGTTGAGGCAAATAGATTATCACTACAAAATAAGTATTTACCTTCCCTTCAGATATCAGATACAAAAGGCAACTAGGGAGTTTATCAGGAAACACGGACTCAAGATGCTCACAAAAATGATGCTAGGTTCTAGTCAGCAGGATGTTCCCCAGGTATCCATTCCACAAACCACAGCAATGGTTACAATCACTGTAGCTTGGTGCTAAACCAATGTTTGAGCAAACTTTTAAATAGCCATTTTAAAAGACTACTTTTAAATGTTACTTAGCTCTTTTAAAACTACTAAAAAACATTACTGGTTGAATTATGTTATGCAGTTATCACAATCTTAAAACATACTCCACTACTCTGCTAAAATTACTAATACAAAAAGCTATAGCTTGCATAGGAACTATGAGTGTTTGGGGAACTATTATTTTATAGCTTATATAAATAGAATCATAAAGCAAAATAGTGAACATACAATCTTTTGCCTTTTTTTTTCTTCGAACACCAATATTTCAGAATATCTAAAAGTTAGTTTTTATAG